TCTTTAGAATTCCTAAAAGGGAGGCAAAGAGGTTGGAAAAACTGATGAGGGACTTCTTATGGGAACCTGGGGAAGAGAAAAAAGATCACTTGATTAGGTGGGAGGTGGTGAGTAGAAGCAAAAATGAAAGGGGCCTAGGCTTAGGGAATGTGGTGAGTAAGAATGAAGCTATTTTAGGTAAGTGGCTTTGGAGGTGGCCCTTGGAGAGGGAGAGGTTGTGGCATGAAGTAGTGAAGAGTATCCATGGTTGTTTTGAATCAGGTTGGGACGCGGAGGTACCCCGAAGGGCTTCGCTCACAACACCTTGGAAGGTTTTTTATGGCATTCTCCCAAAGTTCCTCAGATTTGTAAGTATGATGCTTGTTCTAGAAACTACATTCTTTTTTGAGAAGATATTTGGGTGAGCACTCAACCCCCTAAAAGACCACTTTCCTTCTCTCTATTCCATCTCCCTCTTTAAAAGGAAACCAATTTCATGGTTTCTTTCCCCCCCGGTTTGCCCTTTGGATTTAAACTGGAATTTTGGGTTTTGAAGAGGGTTAGGGGATGAAGAACTTCTTTGTGTTTTAGAGCTCTTGTTGCTTCTAGATTCAGTGTGCCTGGACCCCCCTAACCTGGACAAAAGGGTTTGGTCTCTATCCTCGGTTGGTTCCTTCACTAGTGCTTCTTTCTTTAAAGCCCTCTACTCCAATCCCTCCTCTCAGGTGTTCCCTGTTAAAGAGGTCTTGTCAAGGCCAATTCCTCCTAAAATAGCTGTGTTCTATTGGGTAGCCTACTTGGGTAAGATCAATACGGTGAAAAACTTGCAAAAGAAGAAACCTTACTTGTGTTTGTCCCCAAATTGGTGCTTCATGTGTAAAGTGAAGGGTGAGGACTGTAATCATTTACTGATATCGTGCTCTTTTGCTACCAATATTTGGAACTGGGTTGTTGCACTATTTGGGTGCAGGTGGAACTTGCCCTCCGAAGTAAAGCTGCTGTTCATTCTGGCTGCCTTTGGGAGATTGACAAAAAGAGGGAAGCTAATGTGGAAATGTATCAGAGCCGTTACCTTGTGGACTTTATGGGAGGAGAGAAATGCTAGAATATTTCAAGAAAAGGAAAGAAGTCTTGCTGAAATTAAGGAATGCATAATGACAAGGAAGTCTTGTAGCTAAAATCTTCACACTTGTTGGCAGATTACTCCTTTGATGACTTAAGGAGAAACTAGGCAGCAGTAGCTTCTACAGTCTCCACAAAGAACAAATCACAAGCTGAATGGGAATCCTCACCGGATGGAGTGGTAAAACTGAATTTTGATGGTAACTGCCAAGGTAACCCAGGGCCATCTGGAATAGGAGGGATTCTGAGAGACAAAGGTAGCAACATGTTGTCTTTATTTTCAGGACCAGTGGGTGTTGGTGATTCTGTAAGGGCAGAGATACTAGCAGCTGTACAAGGTATACAGATGGCCAGTCAACTTGGAGTGAATAATTTGATAGTAGAAGGGGATTCCAAGGTAGTAGTGGGCTGGTTGACAAGTCCAGAGACAGCTTSTTGGGGCTACARGGATCTGTTAAAGAAAGTTAAATGGCTGACAAGGAATATGTCAGTCAGGTTTYAGTGGGTCAGCAGATCAGCAAATGCAATGGCTGATTCTTTGGCCAAGAAAGGGGTGTCAAGGGGAGATCTGTTTTGGGCCACTTTGTAACTGTGTTTCAGGCTTGTGTTTGTTTAGTGTTTATGACTCAGTCCTAGGGGGAGGTAACACCTCGTGCCTCTTCCTAGGCTGAATGTACTACTATTTTTTGAATTAATAAAACTACTCCCATTTATCAAAAAAAAAAAGAACAAATATGATATATAGTTTAAAACTTATATTATCTTTATTGATTAAATTGGATAACATAATGTGTAGATTATCATTATATGGTTAAAAATTTATAAATTAAATTTTGTAAATATTACCTTTTACACTAATTATTGTACACATTCAAAAATTAAAATGAAAACAAATGATCAAATAATTTAAGTAACTCAATTGTCAAGTGAGACCATGGCCTTTGTAACCATGAATGCTTGGGTTCAAATCTTCACATCCCCAAAAGTATTCTGGGGTTTATTTCAAGGAAAGTTTGGTTCCAAGGCAGGTTCCAACAAGGTCAGTTCTACCAAGGCCAACCAAGGCTCGTTCATTGGATCGGTTTGGGTAGGGTAAACCCTTAGACCCTGGAAACGGCCTGGGTGGAGGTTGGTTCCAAGAATTTGGAACCAGACCCTACCCTGTAACAGATTGGGTAGGGCCGGTTCAAGACCGGTTCCATTTGGTTCCGGGTAGGACCTACCCATTTGCTCACCCATAAGTAAGACACTATTTCCAAGTTTAATGTGAGCTTGTCTTTTGGGGTTGGGATCTTGGATTCAGGAGAGGTAGAGGTCCAAGGGATGTGGAATTCTGTCTGATCATTTTATCTCCATCAAGTCACTTGTGCCTCTTTCTTCCATAACCTTTTACATCCCCCTACCTTTGTCTTCTCTTTTCCAAATAAGCGTGGAATGCTCTTGCCACCTAAAATAAGGGCTTTTTTGCTAGGAGGTTACTCTTGAGAAAATCAATACCTTGACACCCTCCAAAAAAGGAGACCAAATTGGTTTTATCTCCACACATATGTTTTCTTTGTTGTGCAAATGAAGAGACCACTTACTATTTACTAATCTCTTATTTATTTGTTTATTTGTATTTGAGAGTGGCTTTCTTCTCTTCTTGGTTGCAAGCGGACAGCTCCTCAAGATGTAGCTGGTCTCTTCAATTCAGGTTTCCTTTATTGCCTAGAAAGAGGAGGATAATGTGGAGATGCACAAGAACAATGGAAGGAAAGTTGAACCAAGGAGAAGATAATAAAAAGTTTAATTCTGAAGTTGTGCATTGGATTAAGACCACGGATGTGTTTGCCCCATTTTTTGAAGGATGACATATTTGGAGGATGGGGAGTTGTGGTTGAATCACTACCAAACAATGGTGAAATAAAACAAAACTTTGATGGAAGTTCCTTTGGAAATCTAGGATCTTTGGAATAGGGGGAGTACTGAGATAGCAAAGGTGCTATTTAGCATTGTATTCTGGGCCAATTGGTTGTGAAGAGTTCCCATGGGTGGAGTAATCGGCAGTCTTACAAGGTTTGGGAATTGCCAAGTCTTTTAACATTAAAAAGACGGGAATAAAAGGGGATTCAGAAATTGTGAATGTGCTGGATGAACAAAACAGTCAAGCAAAATGGACCCATGGACAATCTATAAAGGAAATAAGTTGTCTATCAAGAACTATCAAAAATAAATAAATAAATTGTCTATCAAGGAAATGAGAAATAACTTTTCATTGGGTAAAAAGAAAAGCAAATGGTTTAGCTGATAATTTAGCTAAACAAGTGGTTAATAGGGATCATCTATTCTGGGCCTCAAAATGTAATGTATGCAACTAAAAGGGTTACGTGGAGATTTCCATCCTGTATCATGGGATGCAAGGGATATTATACATAATATTGTTTTTCTCAATTAATAAAAGTTCACAGTTAACACATATGGCTTAAGAAATTGACTCTCCCAAAAAGTAGAACCACTAGATGATCTTAACCATCTTATGTGGACATTATCCAAAGAGCTTCTCTTTAACTTTAAAAGAAACTTTCCTCCATCATCCAACGAAATGCATTAAAATCAGATGGCTAAAGTCATTGCAAGGATTGTTATTTATCTATAGTGTGCTGATAAATTTCTTCTAAAATTGGAACCTGTTAGTAAAAATACGAAATTCAGATGGCTAAAGTCTTCTTCTCATGCTGATAAGTCCTGTGTAAGGTTTAGCCTAGGAAAAGAAAAAAAAAACACGAAGCCTAAGCCATACYATTTGGTTGATTGTCTTCTGCATATTCCCAAGCTGACCTGGGAATATGGGTAACTGAATTTCTCAGCCCTTAATCAATCTGTTGATACAAGTTCTAATAATGTTCATTCTTTTTTATCAAGTGATAATTTAATTTGCATTATAGGTAAAATACTGCAACATCCCATTTGTGGCATAAAAAACATATGGCCTAGATTGCAATAGCCAACTTTGCTAATTGCTATTAAAAGGTAAACTAGAAGACAGAAATGACAAGATGGAAAACATGAATAAATAACTCAACCTTGTCTTCTAGTGTGCCTACCAAGTCAGCTTTGTCTTATATGCATCATTTAGCAACACTGAGTTAGGTTAGCATTACTAGTCATAATTTCATAACATATTTAGTTTGCTTAACCACTTGAGAAAATTAAACCACATACCGAAGCAAGTTCCTCAATGACAATTGCCCTGTTACCATCCTTCTCAAAAAGTTCATAGGCACAACGAGCATGTTGCTCCCACTGATCGAGTGCCTCAAGCTGATACACACTTAATGCTGCTGCACAAAATTCTTCAAAATCCATCCTTCTGTATTGAAGTGCAAGTAGCTGTAAAAGAGAACAAGTAGTGCTAGAACTTGAGAAAGGGAAACCATCAAAGCTATGATGCCAAATAAAATTATCCTACAAAATTGTATAAATAGTTAAGTATTACCGATCCAAGAAAATCATGGATACGAGACTCCTTCATTGCATCTGTTGCATTTTTCATCAAGGCCTGCCAAAAGAAATGGTTGAAACATCATTCATAACTATTAAGTAGGAATCTTTAAAAAAAATGAAAGACTTACTGTCTTAATGTTCTCTAAGTTTATGCTGTTATTCTTGTTTGGTTGCAATAGTGCAAACTGCTCCTTAAGATAAAAGAGCTCATCCACAGTCAGTGTTTTTGATAGTGCCTGTCATAGAGATCAAATAGGATAAAAGAATAAGTTTATTAGAACCTTTTCTTTTGACAAGTAGTAGTTAGATTAAAATAGAGGAAGAGGCGCCCTCAGGGGTACAAGAAACCAACAAAACATACATGAGAGAAGACAGTAGATATGATTTCCCTCTAGAAATGAATATAGAAATGATTATTAAAATATGATCATTGATAAATCTGAGCATGATTTTTCCTGATTAGATAGCCATGTCTTCTACCTCTCTTATCTTTTTATTAATCTTCCTAAAACTGAACAAATTACAAGTCTGCCCTTACATGGGTGGCCAGCTCATCAACTTACTTAAAAAACATAAAAAAGGATTAACAGGCCCATTAACAAACAAAACATCTAGGAAGAACTAATAATAAGACAATAATGGGCTAGGACCCATTTGGCCCAGTCTCTCTACACTTAACATTGATCCTAAAAAATCATAAAATTCCAAGCTTAGATGACTGACTTAGATAAAAATTTTCAGTTGCAACAAACAAATCATATTTCCCCATGCTGATTCAATCAACATAGAACAATTTACTGTTTTGGACAGTATCAGTTCTAGCAGTTGGCAATCTTATGTAATTCAGGTGAAACATTTTGGACAACCAAAATATTCTCCACTTACTGTGATTGATATGGATATGTACTCTTCAAATATCTTATTTTGTAACTCTATGCCATCATCAAAATGCCAGTTTTGAATTTTCTAATTAATAATTGAATAATAAAACATTTCAACAAAAAGGGGCAGTCTAATAAGGTTAAGGAAAAAAAGAATATCAACCAGAAAAAGGTGAGATGGATAGAAATTACAAGACATTAACCTGGTAATACAAATCCAGACAATCCACTAAATAGAAAGGACTGTAGGCATTAAAAAAAAAAAGAAAATACAAACCACAATGTCATATTTGAGACATGCATATAGGAAATAAAATTTTCAATATTCCTCAATATCAATGGATACACACCCTCAAAGCAGCCTTACGCAAAGATGATGAGCGCATATAGGCCTTCATGAGTCTGAATATCAGAATGTCGAGGGGAACTTTTACATCATTATAATTTCTAATCCAAGGATGGCCTGAAAATCAAAGGTGATGGACAGTGATTTAAGAAAATAGCACCGGAAAACGTATTCTTCTTTTAATTCTATGGAAGATGGGAACACTCACATAGAGCCTGAGCAGCAGTCATTCTTTTGCGTGGGTCCTTATTCAATAGGCGTTTGACAAAATCCTTTGCCTCAGGAGATAGAGTAGGCCAAGGAGATTCATCAAAGCTTGGGTCAGCTTTCAGGACTGCTCGAAAGATCCCAGATTCAGTTCTGGCCCAAAATGGACGACTGCCACACAAAAGAATATAGGCTATCACACCAATGCTCCAAACATCCGCCTCTGTACTGTAAGATCTATGCAGAACTTCAGGTGCCACATAGTATGCACTTCCTACAATGTCATTTAACCTTTCATCTGCAAAATACCTGAAACATTAGAATTCCTTCATGAACACAGAAACTAATAAACCAATTAGGAGATAGGCCTCTGCAGTCAGTAAAAACCTGGTTTGGAAAAATCTGATAAGCCGAAGTCTATGGCCTTCAATTGCGCATTTTCATCCTTGGAAGTGAAGAGGAAATTCTGATCCAACAAAAAAGCATGGTAAGATGCAATAAAATAAACAGAAAAAAATTGTAATCTAATAGGGGCCACAAAAAAAAAAAACTGTAAATAAATTCCAATTGAGAGTCGCTTTGTATAAAAATGCCAAAGGTTAGGTTTATATCCAGTCTACCCCTCCCAAGACCCTGGATAGCCAGGACCATCATTGGGTAATGGTCCCTTTAAATGATCAAACTCGGTTTCATGGCTGTCAAGGCACCTAGGCAATTCTACAAGTCAGAGGAGTGCTTAGTCGCTTAGGTAGGCATCCAAGCGTCACCTAGGCAATAGAACTTTATAAAGAAAAAAAAAAACTAAAATCTAAGTTATTTCCCTAAATTTAAATTTCAATTAGAATGCATGCAGGTTGAAGAAAATATCAACGTTCATTATTAATAATATTAATTTGCTTCTCAAAACATATCAAATCATCATATCTAAAAGACGATAGCATTTTAAATCAATTAATATCAATATTTGAAACACAAAACTATATCATAATATGTATTTAATAGAGAAGTTGCATGTTAAAAATTATTGGCAACTAAAAAAGGTTACAATTATACTTTGTACATCAATAAAAAATTTTAAAGAGAAAGTGACTAATGAAAAAGGGAAAAAAAGAACAAGAGACAAAGCCCTTTCTATTTAATACGAGAGAGAGAGAGAGAGAGAGAGAGAGTATTTAAAAAAGCTCCTTATCCTTCTCTTCTTTATTTTTCTCTTAAAAAACCTTGGATTTTTCATATTTTAATTGCAAAACCCTTAAACAAAATATAAGTGATATGCATAATATATTATAGGATGTATCAACACAAATAGTAATAAAGTGTAACCATAGAGATAATATTACAATAAGGCAGACACCTTGTGGTTTTTGTTGCCCAGGCAGCAACCACCCAGCCAAGGTTGCTTAGGTGATGCCTTGACAACTATTTCATGGAAAATCAAGAATGCTGGGGTTGCTTCACTTGCACTTTAGGTGTTTATGTTATCGACTTATCCCACCACCTCCAAAACTTACCATTTTTCCTTTTGATCAGCAAGTGTAAACCCTTTTTTATCAATAGTGTAAACCTTACTAAAAGTGAAAACAGAAAAATATAAACCTGAAACTGCCCAAAGAAAGAAAAACAAGAACCAACAACTTTACTTATAAGGAGACAAAACACAAAAACAAAGAGTTATCCCGAGGCTTCAATGCAGCTCGGACCATCACACATCTTCTAGCTAAGCTATTGGCCAAAGTATTGGCTGACCTCCAGATCCACCAATTTATTGAGATGAGATTCCCTGAAAGAAAAAAAAAAAAAAAAAAAAACCTGGGCAACACTCTGAGAGGATGGCATCCAGCCGCACATTGGGAACATCTCCCATGAATTTAACATACATGTACAGGAGATATTCCCAATGTGCAGCTGGATGTTGTGCTCTCAGTGTTTGCACGGTTTCTGCTTTCAGGAGATCTGAGCTACTTTTTCATTATTAATCAGATATTATGGTGGCATTCCTCCACAAGGAGTAAATTTAGGGGTAAAGGGATTAAATTAAATGCTTTTGTCCACAAGGCTTGCAAATTTTCTCCCATACAGTGGTTTGTATACGGGATCTGCCCCTTTATTTCAGTATGATATCAACCTTCAATTGTCAAAAAAATTAAAAAAAAAAAAAGACAAGAAAAGAAGAGGAGTATTACATGCTTTCCCCAAGGACCCCCAAAAATCTCAAACCACTTATTAGTTATTTTTCCTGAAAAGGATGTGAAATTAGTGAGTATTAACTAAAATTGCATTAGAACACTAAACTCTTCATTGCATAATACAAGTTATTTAACCAGCGATACACAACAATGGCTGTCAAATAATAAATCTAACTTATCTTTGGTCAAACAAAATCATAGCCATATAAGCAACAAATATACAAGGTGATTGTCCTGCCAGTTGAAAATTCAGATAGAAAACCCATAAAAAAAAAAGAAAAGGAAGAAACCGAAAAAAATGGGTAAAAGTATGATCATGAAGATCACTAAGGTTATTGGTCCAGATGGTAACCCTGGAACTGCAAACCCCTCTTCACCAACCAAATCCTCTGTAACCTTTAGGGAATTCTCAGAATTTATTACAAGAGGAGTCTAATGCTAACTTGGAAAAGCAAACATGGGAATATGAAATACCTCTGGTTTAAGGTCCCGGTGGACCACACCCTGGAGATGGAAAAAAGCAACAACATTTAATATCTGTACCATGACAGCTTTTGCATCCTCTTCTGTGTACTTTCCACCCCTAAAAGAAAAGGGTGAAAGTTATCAACTCCCAGCAATTTATGGATAACTGTTCTCTAAATCCACAAGGAAATCTTCTAGGAACATACTATGATTTCAGTTTAGCAATCAACAAATAGAAATACCTTGAAAGTATTCTATCTAAAAGCTCTCCTCCTTCACATAACCTGAAATATGAATAAATAATTTATTAGTCCACAAAGTACCCAAGGATTTGTATTGAGAAACTGCCATGCCAACATGACACCTTTTGTAGTCTTTTGATAAATATGGCATCTGTTGTTGTAGTTTTTGTATCTATTGTATATAATGTACAGGAGAGCCCCTCCCTGTTCAGCTGGGATTGCCCTCCATATACCGCAGACCTTGTATTTATCTAATACTTCTTTATATGCTAATAAGAGGCCATTGCTTAGTGTGGTGGTAAAATTTCAGGCTGGCAAGAGTGAAAATGTGGGTTTAAGTCTGAGAGCATCCACTTAGTGGAAAAAATGCCAAAGGTTAGGTCTTTATCCAGTCCAACCTTCCCAAGACCCCAGATAGCTGGGATCAATATGAGGTAATAGCCTGTTTTTGTATATATGTTTATACACACTTTTGAAAGGTATTAATATTAATTAAAGAAAATACCGTTCACATGCCTTTTCTCCCTAATAACAAACCATGCCTATATGTGTGAATAAAGTCATATGATATTATGACCACTACGTTTAATCTGATTCTTTTTCTCTAACAAGTAGGAAAGTGAATTACCAAACATGAAGTACAAAGACCATGGAGGGAACTTTCCGTGCATCACTAAAAAGCTAAAAAAAGGTTATACAGAACAGAAGAAAATTTAGAAGCAACTTTTAATGAACTATGCATGTACAATCACATGCCTAGTGACATAGTTGTCAAGGCATATACGCAATTTGAGGTGACAGTGGAGTGCCTAGTTGCCTATGCACCTGGGATATGGAATTTGACAAACAAAAAAAGCATATATTCTAGGTTAATCCACAGTTTTATATACCAAACAGAAAACACAAATTTAAAAATAAAAGTGCACCTTAATAACAATAAATTTCTGTAGTGAGAATGGGCCGAATGGGCCCTAGTGTTCTTAACTTCCTTTAAGTAGTGTTTAAAAGTTATGTTTCTTAGTTATGGGCCTTATGGGCCTTCTTTTATTTTCTTTAATTATTTCTTTAGTGCTGGTCGCCCTATTAAGGGCATCCAAGTAATTGTACTCAGACTTAGAATTATTAATAAAAGTGATGAAAGGGGCTAGAGAGAGTGGTTCGAATACTTCTTTTCTCTCTTCCCTTCTTTTCTTCTTCCACAACCTATTGCTGAAACTTCTTTTCTTCTCTCTTTTTCTCTTTTCTTCTTTTCTTGCATTATCTGAATTACTGTAGATATAATTTTCAACTTGGTATCAGAGCGGGTTCTCACTTTCGACTTTTTTTCTCCTTTCTTTGCCCAAACATAGTGTGTATGGAGAACTGATAGGTTGATCAATCAGCTACTTATGCAACCCAGTTAGGAAGGTTTTCGGAGAGTTTTGTGGAGATTTTTCATCCTTAATTGAAGCCCAAGTCTAGTTCTTGGAGATTTTCCCAAAAACCCTAGATAACTGGAGAAACCTTGTTACAGGTCGTAGAGACAGTTTGAACCAGGCGCTTGGGGATCAGAGGTAAGCCTTTTGATTTCTATTAGGGGTGGTTTTGGTTGGATTGAATTCTAGAACCTCTGGAAGGGGTGGTTGAAGTTTCTCCCTTTCTCACCATCCCACAGGACCCTGTGAAACCCTAATTTTGGGGAGTTAAGAGGTTGTTCTTTGTTTAGAACAATAAATATAGCCTAGTAAAGCCAAAATTTGATTTTCGTTTACATCCGTTTACTCAATGGAGCAAACTGGAGGAGAGACCAAAAATCCACATATTTCGGGTTTGGACATGGGGGGTCAGTGGAGAATCTTTTTGGGGTTGTGACTACTATGAAGCTAGATGGGATCAATTATCTAGCTTGGTCTTAATCTATTAAGATACAAGTGTGTAGTTGAGGAAAATGGGGTTATATTACCGGGAGCAAGAAGAAACCGGAGGAGGATGGTCCTACCTATGAAAGGTGGATGCAGGAAAACTACACAGTAGTGGGTTGGTTAGTGAATTCTATGCAACTATACATTAGTCAGCATTACCTATGGATGGAAATTGCAAAAGAAGTGTGGGATAGTGTCACAGAGACCTATTCCCAAAAGCTTAATGTTGCTCAGGACTACAAATTGAAGCATGATGTGAATAATCTTAGACAAGGGGAGAAGCCCTTAGCAGTCTACTTCTCTATGCTGAAATCTCTTTGGCAAGAGATTGGTCTAATGGAGACTATTGTTTTGGGTTGCACAAAGGATGCAGAAACACATAGGAGGTTGGTAGAGAGAAATCGGGTCTTTGAGTTTCTCACCGGACTCAACTCGGAGTATGATATTGTGAGGCAGAATGTTTTAGCAAAGGATGAGGTGACTTTGTCTCAAGCATATGCTATGGTGAGCAGTGAGGAGAGCAGAAGACAGGTTCAGTCTATTCAGCCGCAGGTTAATCACTATGCTAATGCGGGGATAAAGCCGAAGGTTAGCACTGGGAAGAAAGATGTTATCTGTGAATACTACAAGAAGCCTAAACACACTAAAGACACATGTTGGAAGCTGCATCCAGAGCTCGTTTCCACCAGATTCAAGAAAGAAAATGATGGGAAAAGGGTTGAAATTGGAAAAGGTGGAAATGCAAATGTAGCCACCTCTTCACAAGGCAAACAAGGACAAGGTGGAGAGAAGTTAGTGGGAGAACAACTTGCAGCCAATAGGGCCAAATATGATAAGTATGGCCGAATCATCAATCACTTGGAGTCCACTGCTATATCTCCTTCAAAGACTGTTCCTTCCTCTACATATGCTCACTTAGGTATTCGTGCCACTGCACATCATGCTTCTGTCTTAGGTACTCATAAAACCCTTTGGATAATTGATTCTAGTGGTTTTGACCATATGACCTCATAGTTATTCACCTCTTACCAACTTCTTTCTGGCTGGGATAAGATATCCCTTGTTGATGGCTCCCTAGCCCCTATCATAGGAAAGGAAGACATTAAGACCTCTAATGCCCTGACCTTATCATTTGTTCTTCATGTACCTAAACTTAATACCAATTTKCTTTTAGTTAGTAACTTGACTAAATCCCTGAATTGCAGTATGACATTTTTATTTTCATATTGTGCCTTTCAAGACATGGAACTCAGAAGGTGATTGGGAGTGGCCATGAAGCGAATGGGATCTATCTGTTAGACATGCCTGAGCAGAACCAAGTACAACATAAGATAACTACATTTGTTTCAGAGTCCACTAGTCGTATTATGTTATGTCATAGTCGTTTGGGTAATTTGTCCTTTTCTTCATTGAGTCAGTTGTTTCCAAAGTTATTTAAAGGAATTAGTCTATCGAGTCTTCAGTGTGAGTCTTGTGAGTTCAAAGCATTGTAAGAGTACTTATCCTTCAAGTAATAAAAGATCAACTATTCCTTTTAATATTGTTCACTCTAATGTGTGGGGGCCTTACCATTTACCATGTATGGGTGGGTAATAATATTTCATCCTGTTTATTGATGATTTTTCACAATATACTCAGATTTACCTTATGTGCTCTCGGGCTGAAGTGTCTAAACTTGTGCAACAATTCCATGAACACATATTCACTCAGTTTAATACCCACATCAAAATATTCCAGTTAGACAATGCTAAGGAATATTTTGAGAAAGACGTTACCTCCTATTTTGAGAAGTTTGGGGTTATCATCAAAGTTCTTGTGTCCGCACTTCACAACAAAATGGAGTAGTAGAAAGGAAAAACAGACACATTGWGGAAGTTGCAAGGAGCATTCTTTTTGCTACCCATGTTCCTATGAAGTTTTGGGGTGATGCAGTTTTTAACAACTACCTACCTTATTAACGGCATTCCTTCTAGAGTCTTGGGGTTAAAATCTCCCTTTGAAGTCCTCTTTCTTGATGTTGAGATTTTCTCTATTCCTTTGAGGGTCTTTGGTTGCACTTGTTATGTCCACATTCCTAGTTCCAAAAGACACAAGTTTGACTCCGAGGCTCAGAAGTGTATTTTGGTTATGCCTCCACATAGAAAGGGTACTGTTGTTTTGATCTCATTAGTGGCACCCGGTTTGTTTCCATGGATGTCACCTTTCTAGAGTCAATTCCTTTTTATAGCCATCCTTCTGAGGGGGAGAGATCTCTCGAGTTGTTTTCTTCATCCCTTCCTTTGCGAACTCCAGTTGAGTCTTGTGTCGAGCCCTCCACAATTACCCCCATTCTCGTGGAAGGATCCTCTCCTTTGAGGTCTTCCACTCCTACTCCTCCCCCTCCTCCTGCTAGTCCTCCAGTTGTTTCCATTCATCCCATTCTCCAGAGGTGGTACCCGCAGCAAAGGCTAAGGCAAACATAGGTTGATCCCACACCTCCAATTGAGACTCAGGCGCTCTCGATTATTGAAGAGAGGACATGTCCATCACTTTCTCCACCAGCACCCTTGTTTCTAGACCTTGACCTACCCATTGCTTTGAGAAAATGTAAGAGGAAATGTACAACTCATTGTATTTCCAAACACCTTTCCTACAATTTGTTGTCCCCATCCTATTATGCCTTTCTAGCCTCCATTTCCTCTCAATCCATCCTAAAGTTTGTTTAAAAAGCCTTAGCCACACCAGATTGGAGAGATGCTATGAGTACTGAAATAGAAGCCCTTCATAAAAACAATACCTGGGATATTGTTGACTTGCCAGCTGGGAAGGAACCTACTGGGTGCAAGTGGGTTTTCAATATCAAGTATCGTGTAGATGGGTCAATCGAGAGGCATATGGTTGGCCTTTGTATCAATTTGATATTAAGAATGTGGGGTATATGGGATATATTACATTAAGACTTTTTTCTCCAGTTGCTAAGATGACTTTGGTGAGAGTTCTTTTATCCTTAACTATGAACTATGGTTGTCCTTTGTATCAATTTGATATTAAGAATGCGTTCCTGAATGGTGATCTCACTAAAGAGGTATATATGTCCCTTCCTCTTGGTATATATGGCATGGAAATGCAGGTTAAGGTGTGTAGATTGAAGAAATCACTTTATGGCCTAAAATAATCTCCACATGCTTGGTTTGACAGGTTTAGGGTTGCTCTTGTTCAGTTCGGCTACACTCAGATTCAATCGGATCATAGCCTCTTTGTTAAGAGAAAAGGCACTCTGATGACATTCCTTATAGTTTATGTAGATGATATTGTGGTTACTGGCAGTGATACAGAAGAAGTTAGTGCTCTCAAGAAGTTTCTTAGTTCTGAATTTGAAATTAAAGATTTAGGGGAGTTGCTATATTTTCTAGGCATTGAGGTTGTTAGGTCCAAGGAATGTATCTTTTTTTCTCAACAGAAGTATGTGCTAGACTTTCTTACTGAGATTGGAAAACTTGGTGCTAAMCCTGCCTCTACCCCTATTGATGTGAATCATAAACTCTCAACTAATGATGGGGAACTTTTAGCTAACAGGAGAGTGTTTCAAAGATTACTGGGGAAACTTCTTTATCTATGTATTACTCGTCCAAACATTTCATATGTTGTGAGTGTCATCAGCCAATTCATGCATGCTCCTAGAGACACATATGGTTGTTGCAGAATGGGTGTTATGCTACCTTAAGAAAACCCTCGGGAAGGGTATATTATTTGTTAAACATGGACACATGAAGGTAGAAGTATATACAGATGCTGCTTGGGCAGGAAATGTGGATGACAGGAGATCCACATCAGGATATTGTGCTATGGTAGTCGGAAATATTGTTTCTTGGAGAAGAAAAAAGCAGTCAGTGGTTGCTAGATCTTTAGCTGAGGCAGAGTGTAGAGCTATGGCCCATGGTGTTTCTGAGTTGTTATGGCTTAAACCTCTCCTTAACGAGATGGGTGTTTCATGTGACGGGCCACTGATATTGTATTGTGATAACCAAGCTACTATTAACATTGCTCACAACCCAATTCAGCATGAAGAACTAAGCACATTGAGGTAGACAGATACTTTATATGGGAGAGAGTGGCTTTAGGAGAGGTGTGCCTACCTTTCATTGCATCAGAAGAGCAACTAGCAGATTTTCTAACTAAGGGAGTCCCAAAGGCAAAGCTTCAACATCATGTAAGCAAGCTGGGCATAATTGACATCTATGCTCAGCTTGAGGGGGAGTGTAGTGAGAATGGGCCGAATGGGCCCTAGTGTTCTTTATTTCCTTTAAGTAGTGTTTAAAAGTTATGTTTCTTAGTTATGGGCCTTATGGGCCTTCTTTTATTCTCTTTAATTATTTATTTAGTGTTGGCCGCCCCATTAAGGGCATCCAAGTAATTGTACTCAGACTTAGAATTATTAATAAAAGTGATGAAAAGGGGCTAGGGAGAGTGGTTTGAATTTTTCTTTTCTCTCTTCCCTTCTTTTCTTCTTCCGTATTGCTCCATTAATCAAACAGAAATTAAAAAACTAGAATTTTGGTCTTTATAAACTTACTTGAAGTCAAAACAGTACCCGGATGCTTGAAAACTAGGGTTTCACTGCACCCGGCTGTTTGGGAGAAAGAGAGAAGATACTGCTGCTCCTACCAAAGCTTCCCAATCTCTTCCAGAACTGAACCACCCTCTTTTAGAAGTCAAAAGACACCTCCCAAGCACTGAGCGCCACACCCAAAACTTCTCCTTTACCTGTAACTTCGAAACTCTCTAATCGGCTAGGGTTTTGGGCAGAAAAAAAAAATACAGTATCTCTTCTTGGCAGTTTTCGGCCAGACTTCAACTCTCCAAACCCTTTACCAGCTAGGCAAAAGATCCTCTGAACTATAGAGAACCTATCTCTCCATACACTCTCCTAATCGAAGGGTGTATGGGAATAGAGAAAAAAAGAAATAAGGAAGAAAGAAACCTGCTCTGATACCAAGATGTGAATCAGTCTTCTAAAACTGATATAAACTTGGTTAAAATTAGAGAGAAAAGAAGAAGAAAAGTAGATGACAGCGGTACAAAGGAAGATGGAGAAAAGAAGAGGAAGAAGAAGAAGAGTTCGATTATCTCCTCTCTCCTCTCTCTAATCCTTTTGTTAATCTTCATTCATTAGGCTAATTACAAATATGCCCTTAAGTGGGCAGACAGGTAAGCAGAAACTTAAAGTATGCTTACAAAAAGAAATAACAGGCCCATTAACAAACAAATAAATAACACACTACAAGAATAGATACTAGGGCCCATTTGGCCCAGTCTCTCTACACTTTTTTTTTATTGGAAATGGTAACTTCATTAATATAACTTAAGAATAACTTTCCAGATTTAAGTACATCTGTCAACCCCTAAGTAGGTGTTGAGCCCCCAGTAATCTTTCTTACAAAACTGCCCAGAACATTCTCTCCCTCACAATCCCTTGTTTAGCCAACGTGTCAGCTAAACCATTAGCTGATCTCCTTGTCCATTTGAAGCATGCACCGATCTCCCTTGTTATGTTGAGGATTTCCCTTATGGGCTGTCTATAAATCCAGGCTCCCAACTTACTAGATTACAGCCACTCAATCAACAATTTAGAGTCTCCCTCTATCTCAATTTGGTGTAACCCCAATTGTTTGGCATATCTTACACCTTGAAGCAATATTGCTTCAATATTTTTACTCTAAAATAAGTACTTAATAAAGTATTGCATCTAAAAAAACTATTGGCAACTAAAGGCTACAGTTTTTACTAATAAAAGGTTTAACCAAGAGAGTAGTAGTAAAAGAAAAAAAAATGCTTAGTCCATTTAAAGAGATTAATTGCAAAAAAAAAGAAAAAAATGATGTGCTTTTCTTTTTCATCTTTCTCTTCTTTTCTTTCTTTTCTTCTCTCTCCTCACAAACCATGGATCCTTTATGCTTCAAGAGAAAAACCTAGAACAAAACATAAGTAATATATGGTATATCATAAAAGTATCAACTATCAAAATGCATACTAATAAGGCACAGTCATGGTAACAATGTTATAACAAGGCACCTCCATTGTAAATTTTCTCATCAAGGTGGGGTCACCTTATTGCCTGGATGGGTACCTAGGTGACACCTTTGATGACTATGTTAGACAGTGTCATCAAACTCAGAATGCACCAGACAGTTGAACCAGTGACCTAGTAACCTTCCTGAATCCTGGGTATTGATTTTACCAGTCAGAATGAGCTTACTGGCTGATTAACCGGTAAAATCATGGTCAAATGAGCATTCAGTTTTTCTGTCCAGTATGAGCCTGATAACATTGATGTTAGGTAATTACAATGTAGTGTTATTCAAACAAGTAAAATACAGTCAGATACATGTGGAAATACAAGACAAGAATAGAGACTGCTAATTTAAAAAATAAAATAAAAGAAAAAATATCTTGGAACAAATAACTAAGTAGCAACAAAGAGAAAGCATGTACAATAGCTGCCATTTGTTATCAGGAAAAAGAGAAAAGTGGAAGTTTGATCTTATCATTTTATACAAGATATCCAAAAACAAAAAGAAAATAAAGTATATTGTCAACCCCCTAACTTTCGCTGGAAAAGAGCCACCATACCACTCTTTCTCATGAATTGTAATTTCAAAAAGCAATTATGTGTTCAAGCTTACTCCATTACTATATAGACGTTATCATGATCCTCATATGCATCATAGAACTGCACTAAATTGTTATGTCCTGTCAAAGCTCTCAAGATTTTCACCTCCCTTCTAACATCCTCAATGGCAATAGCCGTAGTCATCTGCCAACAAGGAACAAATCAACCTCATCAAATAAGATTCAAAGAACACAAGATATATAATGCATAGCATAGACATCATTTTTGTCAGCATTCATAAAACAAAATAAAAAAGAAGGGAGGTGAAAAATCTGAAGGAAAATTGACTGATTAAAAAATATAGAAAATACCTTGTATGAGTTTGCACTTTGCACAAGTAACTTTAGATCAATCACCAGTTTTTTTTTTTTTTTTGATAAGCAACATTAATTTGTATTCTTTAAGTGGGAGAATTCTACTCATTCCTTGAAAGTGGAAACATAGGAGAGAAATTACCCAGCCACATACTGGTTACAGCTAGATGGCTGAGTATCTCCTTCATTGCCTGGAAACCAGAAGGCTTAGGCACCACTTCCTTAATTTGATTGGTTACAGGTGGGCTGCCCTGGAACATATTGTTGACCTCCTTCGGCAATGGCAAGGGAGAGGATCAAGTAAGGGAAGGAAAATTTATCGTAAAAAAAATACAAATACAGCTGTCATTCTTATACATAAATAATACATAATACACACACATATACATATGTGTTTATGTATATACCAGTTACAGCCCTTTAGTTCCAAGATTCTTATGTTTTTACAATATTTTTACTGGCCCTGGTACACCCCACATTATGTTTTCCCTTGTTACCCCTTCTGTGGAAAAAGCATCAGCCATACTGCTTCTCTTGGAATTTACCTGAATCACCAGTTCAGGTCTAACAACCAATACTTTTCTTTTCTCTTTATTTTTTCCTGTTAGCATCTAAAAATGAACCTTTACATTCATTCTCTATGTGCATTTTGGGACAGTTATTCAGTTAGTGTAACTGCCACTAAAATTTCTCCTACTTCTGCATTTGTTGAAAAAAAGAGGTGTGCCTCATCTGCTTTTTTTCTCTCCTGTAAAGCTGTGATTCTCACTTTCAAGTTTCAACCATCTTACTTTTCTGCTGATAAAAAAAAACATCTTACATTTTCTCCCTCCCTCCTAAAACAATCTTACCTACTCTAACACATATTCCTCCTTTCTATTGTCTCCTAAAATTTCTTCCTCTCAAACTCCTTACAGCTGACTGATACTCCTATAAATCCTCCCTCCCAACTCGTTTTTCTTATTTCTCAGTTCAATTTCCTCATCTAACAAAACTATTTCTTTTTATCATTACCTTCTAATATCAAATTCTCCAAGGTTTGTATACAAGGTAGGGAAGCCTATAAAGTATAAACTATACAAGGTTTGTATAGGTTTCCCTACCTTTTCTTTCAAACCAAACACAGCCTTAGGGAACTGATTAAGTTTCTTTATTCTTCCAGCCCTCAAGGACCAGCATGTCATGTCTTCTTCCTCCAACAACTATTGTTATTCAGTTGGTGTCACTGCCACTAAAAGAATGAGAGACAGGTCAAAGAACGTCATCTGCAGTTTGAGATTAGAGTTTGGAGGGCCAAAGATCAAATCCCATATTAGCATCATTGGAGCTATTCTTCTCACCAAGGTAAATGCTCTTCAGTGTCTTCACAAGTTCAAGTTCACCCATGAAGTTTCCAGAACCTAGATAGCCCATTTTAATTCAGTTTCCGCAGGTACTTTCTTCTACCAGTGCATCTACTTCTTGCTTTACACTACTCAAGAGGTGATTTATTTATCAATTCATAAATTAAATTTTCTTTTTTTTTTCTGTTTTTGAGATTTAACTTCATTTATTAAATTAAGATTTCTTATGGGTTGTGCTGATCAATTGGTAATGTTTGATGGGAATTAGGGCAATGGGTTCTGTTCAAATGTAATAAGAAAGTGTTAAGGTGCATGCTCGGTATACAATCACAATATTCTACCAAATGTATCGGTGCACATTGAAGTGGCTGGACACAGCATTCCTTCACAAGTGATGCTAAAGGGGATCAGTGTTTTCAACCCAGCAATTGACCCGGATGGTCAAACCGTTTGAACTGTCACCCAATCACAATTCTGGGTCTGGTTTTCCTAAAACCAAGGATTCAACAAAAAAAAAAGCTTTTTTTATCAGCGATTTGGCAAAAAACCACCGACTTGGTAAAAAACCATTCGACCTGGGCAGTTGAACTGTTGACCCATTTGACCCGGTCACTAGGTCACAAGTTAAGCACTAAAATGTGTTTAAACTTCTGAAGGCCATAACTTTGCACTCATTTGTCCAATTGGGGTTATATTATATCAATTTTGGGTAACTTTTCATGATCTACACATTCCCAAGGAGCCATAGGTGCCTTGCCCCACTACTTTTTTTCCAAAAAAAAAAAAACTTTTGTGGCCTCAAATCTCAATTTTTACTATATATATATATTAAAAATTAAAATAAAATAAACTAGACATAAAATAATACAGATATATACATATATTACATGTAGAACGTAATTATACATTATCTAAATGATATAATACAAATATATATTATATGCTGATGTGTCACGATCTGACCTGTTTGACCAAGATGGCCAAATCGGTGACCCGCAAGGCCGCAACCAAAAGGAAAAAAACAGTTCAGCTTCCAAGTCTGGTTATTGCAACTTGCAATTCAATCTCACATGTGACTTTTATAAAATTGATGGTTATGATTGTCCAATCAAGTTATTGTTGACATAGTAAATATCCAAGGCAGACCCATCTCACTTATGCAGAACAATTCAATTGTTTTATATTTTCAACTTTTTAAATAATTAATAACTATTCATATTTTATATACTACTTTTAATAATTTTTTTATAACACAAAAATAACAACAATTAATTTCAGTTAGGTTTATTCATCAAACCGGTGAAACTGACCAACCCGATCAACTCGACCCGAGTTGGTCGGTTTTCTAGTATTTTAGGTTGGCTTTGGTTCAAAAATTTCTCAATTCAACCAAGTTGGATCAGTTTCACTTTGGCCATTTGTAAACCAACCAAAATCGAACGACTTGACCATTGATATATATTAATATTTTATATTTTAAATATAATTTTTAATATGGAAAAGTGGGAAATTTACCGTATTTCTTAGTCTAAAATGTTTTATATCATAAATCTAATTTTTAAATTTATTTTTAATAATTGCACTGTAATTTTTAAAACTAAATTTAATTTTTAAGTTTAAATCTTTTGAAACAACTAACCAAACCAAAAATCAACCCAAACCGATACAACTTGAGTGGGTCAGTTTTCACAAAAGGTCAGTCAATTTCAGCTGACCAACTCCCCAAGCTGACCGGGTCAATTTGGTTGGCCAAATAGCCTACGATCGAACCAAACCAACTCATGAACACTCGTAATTTCAGCTAAATTAATAGTCTCATCTCTGATAAATAACAATAGTTTAATCTCCAATAATTATTGAAAATTGATAGCAAAATTACACAATTATTGAAAATATATTGGTAATGAAAAAATACAATAAGTACTAAAAATATATTAACTTAGTCAATAAATATTATAATCTCAAATAATAGTTTAATCTCTAATAAATATTAATCAATAAGTTATAACAAAAATACAATAAATACAATAAGTACAATAAATTAAATTTAAAATTTTCAATAATAGTAGTTTAATCTCCAATAATTATTGAAAGCTTTCTGTTAAATAACGAAACAAAATAAATATATACATAATCATTGAAAATACATTTATCACAAAAACAATAAATAAATACTGAAATACAATAAATATTAATTCTAGTATATATAATTATATAATAAACACCGATTAAGAGTTTAAAATTATTATTAATAAATATTAATTTTTTTGAAAGTTATTTTCTCGAATTATTACTTGATATAAGTGAAATTAGTTATTCACAATATTATGTAAAAATATTAAATTATTATTAATTTCAATATTATGTTATAATTATTTTTCTACTTTTCAGAATTTTTTTAATTTATACACTTGCAACCATCATCACTCAGAGCAAGACTCCTGCCGCTAGGTTGATCTCTTACCATGCTGTTTCACATATTTTAGATCAAGTTACCTTTGTTGCCCAAAGCCTCAACTAGAACCCAAGCTAGTTTTGTTGCATTAAATTTTCTACTAACCAACTTAATGCATGCAAAAATGAAAGGCTAAAAATTAGGTTGGACCAGTCAACTAGGTTTGAGCCTGACCAAGTGTAAGAGGATAGTGCAATGACAGACTGTGGATTTCTGAAGGTCAGACAAAGTTGTCTACCTTGGGTGCTTCAGGATTAAGTCGGTGGAGAAACCACGTAGAGAAAAGATCTGGGTAAGAATATGAGAAGTCTACATCTCAGAAGTCCCTGAAAAGGAAGTTGGGTTCCCTATTTATAGGGAAAAGTGGTTGTGCAGCACATGGACAACCTCAAACAAAATTCTAGAATATTCATTCTGGGAAAGTTCCCTAGTTATGCCTAGGGGTGTACAATTGGTCGGTTTGGTTCAATTAGAACCAAGGACCTAACTGACTATTCGGTTTGCCCATTTTTTCCAACCAAACTAGAGTTTAGAACCGAACCAACCCTAACCGAATTTGGTTCGGTTTAGTTCGGTTGGACCCTAATTCCACATAAATGACAAACATTGATAAACAACTAATAAATAATTTATAATTACTAAGTGTTATTAATTAAAAGTTAAAATGGCCCCAAAACCCAATGGTTTTAATTAATTTACTATTATTATTAATTAAAAGTTAGAATGCCCCAAAGCCCAATGGTTTTAATTAATTAGCTATTATTAATTAAAAGATATGCCCAAAGCCCTATGCCAATGGGGAATTGGCGAATTGGGCATTTTTCAAAAACAATTAATGATTAGTCTAGGTTTTAATCAACAATTATTAATTAAAAGTTATTCGCAAACAATTAAAGCCCAATGGGAAATTGCCAAATTGGTCATTGGGAAATATAATAATTAATTAACATAAAGTATTAAATAGATCACACTTAATATTTAATATACTTCATTAAATAAACACTAACTCGGTTTTCGGTTCGACTTGGTTGAAAATCTCAACCAAACCAAACTGAAACCGAAAACTGATTTTTTTAAAAAACAAAAACCGAACCAAACCGATATCCGAATTAACCGAACCGGACTTGCTTATTCGATTTGTTTTGGTTCGGTTATTGGTTTATCAACTGAATTTGAACACCCCTAGTTATGCTAGCTCAGCATGGGCAGTTACAGACAAGAACGTGGGTGAGGGGACCAGGCACTGGCCTATGCAGTTTCCCCTGCCTCTCACACAATCTCGCCAAATCATTGCGCTTGTCATGCATAAAGCACCAGGGTTTTGTGGGCTTCATAAGCCCCTTGAAACTCATGGAATTTGCATGCACAGGTTTGGGATTCGCAACATGTCATAGCGATGTCTATAGTCTTACACCAGGTTAATCTAGTATTTTCTCTTTTTTGTTGAACATTGCCTTCTAGTAGGTCCCAGCACATCTTAGCAAACTCATTCAAAGTTTTTTTATGAATATACCATAGGAGAACCATTCGAAAAATGTTTGCATCATTCTATCTTTGTTGACCTCCTTTTGTTCCACTCATCCTCAGAGAAGGGAGTTATCTTTGTATGCTTCACTCCTTTCTGCTAATAAATTTTGTGCTTCTGATCAAAAGAAACAGGGATGCAACTCAGCTTAGGATCAACAAAGCAAACTCAGCTGACAATCTAAATTCAAGTTGACTTATGTGCAAAAAACTGAAAATCAAAACAATACTCGAAGGGCAGAAGTTTGCATTCAGGCTTTGAGCAGCCAGACACATCCTGAGCTAAATGATGTACAGCTATATCATGTATTCCTGGGTCAACTAAAGCACCTCAAGGTGATTCAAACAGGTTGCCTCTTCAATTCTAAGGGTCCTGCTCAATTCAACCCACCTGAGTTCCAATCCTTGTAAGGCAGTTCTTGTCTGGCATCCTCCAATGTCTCTTCTTCAAACCTTCTTATATTTTATTATTTTAGACAAACTCCAAATAGATGGATCCAAAGAAAGCTCTCACTGCTCTTTTGTCCAACCTCCAAAGGTTCCACATCCATAAAATGCTGTGGAGAAAATGAATAAGATGTATATATCATTCATGTGCATATAACTTTTCTTTATCAAATATTGTGTGAAACTCAAGTATACAACATCATTGAAACTTCCAGCATATTCTCCACGTAATATTTCAAAAGATGTTATAGAGAAGCATGGAGCTTCAAGCATCAAGAACCACTTGGGCGAATCACAAGAGATAGGTATATTTCATCTTGTCTCTACATTAATCAGCAAATAGATAAAATTTTATTAACAAATAAAAGGTCTTCTGAAATTTTATATCAGCTCCTGAGATTTTTTTCTTCCAATCACTAAAATCTCCTGTCCAAATTAAATAGGCTCACACTGACTTACTTTGCACTGTTGTAGTTCTATACCATGTAGTATGTACACTCCTTTAAACTTTATAATTAATAAAATCATACAGTTATTGATCAAAAAAATAATAATAAATAGGCTCTGCCTGTTTGACCAGCCACATCCATCAATTGCTTTTTGCTTTTTTCTGAAACTCCACCTTGCTGGTTAGCCACCTACCTACGTTGATCTAATTGAAGCTAGAGAGAGCTATTTTACCATTGCATTCGAACTATTTGGCTGTAATCATTTTTCCATTTCAAGGTGCTGTAAATATCAGTAGAAGTTCACGGCAAACCCCCCAAAAAATAAAAGAAAAAGAAAATCATATTGCATAAAAACCGCATCTTCATACCAAACAAAAATAATTTTTTTAACACCAAATAACAAGAACGCATAAAAATTTTTAGTTTCACCATACGAACATGCATCCTAGACAGAAAACAACAGATAATAGACCAGTCAATAAAATTAAACGACAACAGTTTGTGCCTATAAATCTATATCTAAGATGTCAAAAAAAAAAAAAAATCAAATTCACCCATGACGCGACTCCAATAAACCAAATTCAAATATGCTACTCAACTTTAATTTACCAATCCTTAATTCATAACAAAATGGGGAAACTTTGACAACATGCAGAGAGGTAGAGATGCCGGACCTTGGCTTTCGGGATAACTTTGACAGCAACCTGTTGGCCTTTAAGTTCTCCTTTCTTAAATCTGGCAGCGCATGTGTAGCCAAAATGCCCTCGCCCAACCTCATCTCCAAGCTCATACTTACTGGCGAAATGTTTCGAGAATCCAAAGCTCTTATCGAGCCCAGCAATACCCTCCGATTCATTTCCCTCCGGTATAGCGGCTTCATTCGGCTTCACCGATCCGTGCCGTCGCGCCAACACAGCCCGAATGTGCTTGGCGGGAGACGGTGGTGGGAAAGGCTTCTTAAAGAACCTCTTAGGCGTAGAATTAGAACTCGGCGCCGGAGATTTCTTTGAGAAAAAATAATGAGCAGGGCTTGGGCTGTAAAAGGGGAAAAAAGGAGATTTTTTTCCTACTTCCGCTTCCGCGTTCTGCTGCTGTTGCTGTTGATTGTGATCCTCATTTTCACCATTAACAGCATTTTCAGAAGGCCTAGGATTTTCCTGCACTGGTTCTTCTTCTCTGATGGAGTAAGGATTGGGTCTTGGGGAAGGTGTCGAATGGCATAACCCCATTTCCCCTCTCCTGAACCCTAATTCAAAACATCTTTCCCCAGATCAAACCAGATGGACCAGAGTTCCAATGCCCTCTCTCCTTTTCTTTTCCTACCTTTTTCTCATCCTGTTTCACTCTCTCTCCCCCTTCTACTGCTATTCTCTTTCTCTTCCCTCAAAGCCCTAGCAAAAGAGACCAGAAGAGAGGAAGAGAGAGAATAGAGAAACCGACGACGAAGCAGCAGTAGTAGTAATGCAAAGAAACGACGATGTTGTCGCTTTTTCTGGTACAGTACGTCAACGCATAGGTGATCCAGCCTGTGCATTTTCTTGCCACGTGTCTCCTGTATCGGATCATAAGTTAGTTATTACTTATTAATATTATTAAACTATTATTTCTGATAGGTTTTTACATCATAAGAACTGTCTCTGTGACAACTGACAAGCAATAAATCCGGCGTACAAAGCAATTAAGAAAAAAGCAATATGAAAAGGAAAAAATAACATCGTAATGTGATTATTATTTAATAATTATAATATGGCTTCACAAATTACAGTAATAATATACAACGTGAATAAATAATTAAAATAATGAATTAAAAATAAATAGAAAAATGGAGATGCTATGTTAATTAATYAATTCATTAAACAAGTTAGTGGTGGCAGGACCGCAGGATGAAGCAACCAATCACGTGCCCCACCAGTGATCAGTCTATCCGTTTGGGGACCATATCATGGGTCTTCGGATCACCTCGAAAATTGAAAGATAGGCTAAGCATAGTTCAAACGAACTCGTATCCTAAGGAGAATTAAAATAAAATAAAATAAGTTAAATAATATTAAAATACAGTTAGTGGGTCAATAATTTTTTCAAAATTCTTTAATTATTAATTTAATTTTTAATATTTTAATGGTTAGATTAAATTAAAGTACTGCAATCGAAATGCAATAAAAAAGGGGAATAATTAAATCAATTGTATCCACAAAATCTGACTATAAAAGACTCAAACATAAAAAATTATGTTTTAAAAAATAAAATTCTAACCATTTGTCTGCCACTTATATGACCAAATAAATAAATAAACACACCCCAAATTAGCTTTGTAATGGTGAATAATGCAGGAGTCCAAATGCCTATAACTAGATTGATTGATAGGGATGACAGGGATGAGATTAACTTGCATTCGATTAATAAATTATATTGGATTGGATGAAGATTTAACCTCATCCAATCTTATTAAAATTCAAGTCCGATTAKATTTTGTTATTTATCATATATATGTAATGTAATTATATATAAATATTCTGTATAATTATATAAATTTAATATTATATATATATATATAATGTAAGTCATTTTAAACGTAATAAGATAGTTGTGGGTTAAATCCGAATCCCATCCAAAACCTGACAATGATAATTAGATGTAGAGGTTTCATAATCAAATTTGAGGATCAAATCTAAAACTGATCTCCTTACAATCTATGTGAAATTGATGCAGCCTGATGGAGACAATGACAGGATGATGTTGAGGTCCACACCTTAATTGACTTTTGCATTGGATGCCCATTAAAGATGATTTAAGAACCACAATTCCATTACTAAGTACTGAACTTTTTGTCCACTAGGTTGGACACCCTATTATCACCTGTTAGATTTAGATGGATAACTTGTATCTACGATTTTACCAAAACCCATCTAAACAAGCCTCTATTGTAATTTGCAGATTGGGTCTCCATTGACGAATTTGGAAAATCAACTGATGGCTCAGAGCAGTGAATCCCACCATATGTAAACTGGACCTGATCTGTTAAGAGGTAAAGATTCCCTGGTTTATTACTCATCTTTCTTAGCCTTCAATTATTGTCATCTACAGGATTATTCGTGTAATCTCTCTCTCCTGAGCCATCACCCATTTGAAGCAGTTTGTCTTTCTTTTTTCAATCATGGTCAAGTTTGGATCTACCAATGTAACCCTGCAAGACCAACCACAACATCTAATAATCTACCATTTTGATAAAAATAAAAAACCTAGTTGACCCTCCACACGACTGACAGTTTTATGGATGAGCAAGTGGAGATGTGAATCAAATCTCAAATCTCAACCGGGTCCTACCTCCAACCAACTCACTTTCTCCCTCTTGGACTGCTATTTGTTGAAGCTGCGGCCGTAGTGGAATAACAAGAAAGAAAGAATTTGCGGTGAGAGTCATAAGTTGATGTCACAAACAGAAACCCAACTATATCCAAAATATGGCTTCCCTTCTAATGAAAATTCGTGCTCCACAATAAATCTATTGGTGGGAGTGGAACCAACCAAAAGGTAGACCGTGTATGATTCTTTCAATAAGAAATTCAACGTGAGACAACATTCCTCTTTTACTTATTAATTATCTTGCTTCATTTAGCAGGAGTCCCAAAATCGTTCCAAGTCAAAATATGACCTTTAAATTTCTTTCAGCCTTTCTTTATCATTGTAATTGTTAGTGGATTTCTCCACTGGATGCAAATATATAATCATCTCTCTCTCTATCTCTCTCATGATTGCAGCTTGACTAAAAACACCGAATTTGACCAAAATAAACGGAACCGTCATCTGAGAACTAAATCAAGATGTTTTTCTTCAGACCATGAAGGCAGAATCTCTTCATTGCAAAGCGAAAAGAAAGCTGAAGGTGAAAACTCAACAACTTGAAAACAAACCACCACCAATAAAAGTTGCTGTGTAGAGTCTATACTGTCAAATTAAACCCTTTTTGGTGACATCCATTGCAATATTTGGATTGGGCCCATACAAGATGCCCATGTTTGGAACATTCGCGTCTGCACCATCTGGGACAGAAACGACAAACCATATATCACGTTAGTTCTGTACTTATGGGTCCCATATTTCTTGTGAATGAGTTGGGGGCCCAATATCATCCATAGACAGCTACATCCTGCCGGCAAGGGGATGCTTGATTGGAGGAACCCATTTGTTAATTGTAGTTTTTAAATTTTCTACTTCATTTGATTCCCTAAATCACATTCCCATTAGTAAGACCAATAAAAAAAATCAGCAGAGAAGAATTAGTCAATTCTCCTTTCCATGATTTGGGGTGATAGCGTGGTGCCCAAAGCTTAATCTAGGGAGTTGTGATAATGGTAGTAACAAGCTATTAAAAAAACAAAAAAGAGATATATGGCAGCAACATGTCCATGCGCAAACCAATAATATTATTGAGACTGGACCTCTTGAAAAAAAAAAAAAAAACTTTAGGTACTGCATCCAGCGCACATTAAGCGTCTGATTTGGCATTGTTTCTGTAGCTTCAGGAAATGGGCATTTGTTTGAAACGTTTTTTTCATAAAAAACAGTACTCCAAGCTACACCTTAGAAATCAGGAAAGCATGGTTTGGAGCAACGTCGAATTTAGTATTTTCTGGAGCTGCAACTCGTTGCTGCCAACAAGAATATAAGGTGGCAGTGATGTGGCACTGGATAATGGGTACCAGTGCTGAAAACGTTTCCTAGAGCATTGGTACCAAATAGAAAACGTTGCTATTACACCAGGAAACGTCCTACCTGAGAGCAACAATTCCAAACAAAAAAAAAGACACCGTTTTCTCAGAAAACGGTACTTCCAACCCACACATGAGAAACGGTGCTGTATCTGTCGATGCCAAACATATAATAAGAATATCTTTTGTACATGAATGTAAAACATATGGGAAGATACTCCCAACGTGCTATTGGATTTGGGTGCAAGAAATCCCATCACCTATTTCTACCAGTCATATTTTTGGAAGCAATTAATGTTTATTCAAAAACCTAAAAACACTGATTCGTGAGAAAGTGATTTCTATAAAACAATTCCTCTCACCAAATACGCACCAAGGTTGCGTTTGGATGGAGTGAAGTTTAACATCAGAAATCAATGTAAAACCCATCAAAAGTAAAGTTTTGAATTGATTACCAATTTAAATACTACATCGATAAAATCTATGAAAACTCCATGCTTTTCGAAGTTAATGATCACTTTTTTTACAGTTATATGTAAAACATCATCGATATACTTTTACACCAATGAGGTTTTATATTGATTCCAACCGCAGCCTAAAGGAGCTAAGGGAGAACTACCGAACATAGATTTGCATGTACTATGACATGGAGTCCGAATCTGGTCCCAACAGCCATTGCAGCCATACATGGGAACATCGTGAAGCCATTATAGCCTTCATGGCAAAATCTTCCCAATGTACAATTACAATGGCTGTTGGGAGCAGATCCCAACCTGGGGCCATCCTGACATCACCCTTGTGATTATGGATCGGCATTTAATTGGGAGTTCACATCTCCACCCACAAGGGGCCGCCCCACAGCACATCCCCGCCTGTGTATTGGGATCGGGAGATGTTCCCAAACGGCGGGGATGTACTGTGGGGTGATGTGATCTCTTTGGGATCATTCCAAGTTCTATGGTTATTACCTACCGACTTAACTCTCTCTCTCTCATGTATTGGGAACCTTTCTCTCTCTCTCGTTGAAACGCTTCCCAATGACAATTATGAGAGAGATGTTTCCCATGCATACAGAGATGTGCATGTGCATGTGGAGCGCCTGACACCTGTAGACGCCAAACTCGCAGCTCTCACGTCTCAATGGCCCCAAATCAAAATCCAGTTAGAAATTGGCTATGAGTCATTTTGGTTGTTTTGAAGTTTCAGACAGAAGGATGTCTTAATGCAGGTTTGGTACTTTTACGCAACCCCCTTCATGAATTCCAAGTTCTCACGCAATTCCTAATTCCGTATCTCTTGGTTCTTTGTAGGCTTTGGATTGTCCGTATGGCAACGACGAATTAAACATCCAATACTTGGATAAATTGGAAAACGTGTTACAAAATAATTAATACAACTGAATACCGAACACATTGGATTAGGGCCGCAAGTCAGGCCGGATTAAGTCGGGTTGAGGCCAACCCTAACCCTAACCCAACCCAACCTTCTTCTTATCCTTTAAAACCTCAGAATTCTCGGTTTTAGACCTTAACTCAACTTTCACTACATATATTAATCCTATGTTTTATTAGATTTGTTTGTTAACGTTATTTTTTTGTTCTTTTAGTACAAAATTCAGAGAAACAAATGTTAAAAATGACTATAGTTTATTATGAGTTATGACTTACGATAGATCTTTCTTGGGCGGCAAACAACATACATGAATTTCAACCCTAACCCTTACCCGACCCGACCCAACCTTTTCGAGTTGGGTTCGGGCCAACTTGGCCCAAGTTGCAACCTTACATTGGATGTGATAATAATGACAACAAAATATTTATTAACGTTGTAAATTGAATCCAATGAAGTGAAGCAATTTAATCCTTAGCAAAGAATTGCATTAACTTTAAAAGTAGGGGTTTTTACCATAAAGTCCACCCCTAGATGGAGCTACTAGCAGACTAGGGGTGGACTGAATCCTGCCCGTAAGAACTCTGAAGGAACCCTTGCTTTAATCACAAGAAAAATTGCAGAACCTGCTTCAGAAAAAAAATAAAAAGAATTGGTTTGTGTATTGATGCTTTCTTCATATAATTTTAATGTCATATAGTTAGAATCGGAACCAAAATCCCTAGAATCAGAATTGGAATAGTCTATTCCCATAATCTCATTGGTTCAGAAAGGAGTGGAATTGGAAATATAATAAGCTGGAATGGAATTGCATTCCCAGGGGAGGGGGAGGGAATGGAATGGTCATTCCCTCAAATGGGGAATGCCATTCCAGCAAGAATGGGAATGTGATTCCAATTCCACCCAATCAATCAGTTAAAATCGGAATGACCCATTCCAATTCCGATTCCAAACCCCTATTCCTGCAAACCAAATTTCTATTTTTATTTTGCTTTAAGGACCACAATCACCAATGACCCAATGGCATCCCTCCAAAAAAGGGGTCTGATCAAACCTATGGAACTGGAGGCTCATCATGGCATTGCAGAGAGAGAGACCACATCAGCCAATATGTATCAATACTTAAAACCATAAATATGCCCATCTCCAAATGGCTTCACTGAGATCATGAGCACCATAGAAACTTTGATGAAGTAAAGATGTTCAACTAGGTAAGCATATTCATGTAGGTCTATCATAGAGATTCGGGACTCTCATATTTGAAGCCTTTTTTATTGCCTAAGAAAAACAGTTATTCTAAAAGACTCAAGGTTTCTCTTAAAACATTATAATTACTTAATTCCCCTTTTAGGTAGTTAAAGCCAAATCCACTTTACAAGGATGCCCGTATGTGGCACCACTCTCCTTTCCTCAAGAAAAACTCGTTTAGTTTTTCTTGATTTTTGTCAAATAGTGGTGAAATTTTAATTGGTTTAATACACATCTGATAGTTCAAGAGTAGCAGTTCGTGTATAATGTGTGGGGAGGTGACATTGCAAAGAGGATGTGGGTACAAAGAGGATGTCAAATAGAGGTGACATCCACTTTACAAGGATGCCCGTATTTGTGCATTGCAATTTTGCAAAGAGGATGTGGGTACAAATATTGAGCATATTCCGAGTATAAAGCTGCTTCCAGGCAACATTGGAAGATCTATTATGGAAATGGCAATTGAAGGGACTGAGTGGAAGGGGAGAATTTATGTGGGGAGTTTTTCGCAGTGGTGTGGACTATATGGTCAGAAAGACACACAAGACTTTTTGAGAACAAGTTCAGCTTAGACAGAGTTGTGAATAACTTATGGGGCAGAAGCTACTCTTGGGTGGCAGCCCAGAATTGCTTCTAGGATGTTCCTTACAATTCTTTTTATAATAACAGTATACTTCTTGTATCCAAGATTATAATCTCAGTAAGTTGTACAGACTGGATGCCCTTTGGCGGCACCTTATTGTGCAGGGTCAAGTATTGTACATTATGAAGATTAATTCTCATGAAAATCTAAAATAAGGTGACAAGACCAAAAAGACCATAAAGAAGAATACACATTATTTTAGATAAAGATTTTTGGAATATGGTCTAACCTAAAAACTTACCCTCTTCATGCTGCTAGAGTGCTAGTGTCACCAACATACCAATGCTTAGTCAAAGTTATCAATTTTGATAGGAGATATCTCATCAGCGACCTTGAAATGTCCCACCAAACGAGCAAAGAACACCATTTGTTGCTCCAGGGTGAACTTTATGTTTTCCACCTATGTCCAACAATTTGATTGAAAGTTACTTTCATCATCATAGACAAATAAAATTTGAAAACAAGGTTGTGGAATGGTGTATACCTTGCGAAAGCCATGTTGCTCTCCTTCATATTCAACAAGAACAACAGGTACCCCTTTTTCCTTCAAGGCCATATAGATTTTGCGTGCTTGATCTGGAGGCACAACCTGCAAAACATAAATAAGTTGAAACAGTTAGATCTTATACTTTTATTTATTTATTTATTTATTTGCTGCACAGTTAGATCTTACACTCAAACACCCAATTACATGTATAAGTAAAAGGATCGTCAGATTATGTTACAGATAAGATATTTCCATATGGAAAGGGAAGCTTTCAGTTTTCACCTTGAGGTAAGATGGAACCTTCAATTTCAAAGATGACGCAACAAACTCTGGATTATAGACTTGACAAACCAGGAAGGCCCATTATCTACTGCTGGACCCAGACTTGAACTGGCCTTCTCATGCTAATCAGCCTGAGATTGGCAAACCAAATGACCTATACTTGACCAGAGAAATTGCTCTTAAAAGTCAAATTCCTCTTATTTTGACTTCAACTTTAAAGTACATATGTTTTATTTGAAATTTAAATAACAATCTAAAAAACGCCTATACTGCCCTGCAAAGTCTTCTGACTGATCATTGTCCCTTTAAGAAATGTTTAATATACTAAACTAACCCCAAACTGCCTAACATTTTGAAGTCACACCAACATCCAATTGATCTTTAAAAAACCCAACAGTTTTTACCCATAAATCTATTCTTATGATCTTACCATAGTGTATAACTATGCTTACCTAGAAGCTAAAAATTCATGGGTACACAACATCAAATGCCCCCCTGACCATTGTTCACCAATGGCCTGTGTCCAAGTGCCTTGTTTACGTAAAGTATCTTCCCACTAAATCCACCATCCCAATAAAGCATCCCCACAAGTAAAAATGACCCATAGGCATGCATTCCACCAACTTCTTAATGGGCAGGATTGCCAAGTTACCACTTAATCTCTTACAATAAGATTTATCAGTGACACAGTAACTAGTTTCTGAGACATTATTTATATATTAAACTTTATGAGAAAAAAAATTAAGGGCAGATACCAAGATCCCAACTATATGGGATTGATGTGGTCAGATTCACAAGGGAACAAATACATGCATTTCGCCCTTACCAACATTGGAGCATGCAATGACTTAAAGTTATGCAGATAAACAATTGACAACCCAATTCTCACCCTTCAAAACCATGGTTAAAGGTGTCTATTGAATTTGATATGTTGAGGTGATTTTCACATATCCCTTTTTTTATAAGTTGAGTATACCACTAAATAATAGTGAAAACATATTCTTGAAAAGACAAAAGTGATGCTGTGTACTAATTCTTGAAAAGCAAAAGCAATTTCTTGAAAACATGTTGTTACAAATAAGGGCATCTTTTCTCTTTTCACTTCTGATGGACTGATACATTCAGATTATTCAAAAAACAATTCAACCCCTTGATATCTTGAAAATACCACATCATTCCATAAATCACAATGTTAGTATGATACTCATACTTCCATATTTGGGGCACTTTGCTGAACTGAAGTTTATGATTTGATAGAAAAGATTTATCAATGAACTCTTCACAACATAATTTTCAAGGAAGCTCTCTTTCCTAGATATTGTGCCAAACAACAAGTATAATCAGAATAGCAAGGATCGAACTGTATACCTTGTCATCCAGACCTTGAAACAAAATAACGGGGCAAGCAAAATTATCTACAAAGTTGATAGGAGATCTCTCAATGAAAGCACCTTCACTCCCTTCAATCAATGGAGAGAATGGATGTTACACTCATAAGATAATTAAATGAATATACAAATTAGTATTGAGTTGTATTAAACTGAATGTGCCTTGCAAGTTGAAATAAACTGTATACCAACAAGATTATTGATATAGTGGAACTCAAATTTATGTGTTTCTGCTTTCAGAGAGGTCAAGTCAGCCACCTGTTTGTTGACCCACCAAAAGATAATATTTTGTCAATATTCTATTTCAGTCAACAGATAAATATAAATGTTCATCAACAGATAAATATAATTGTTTACCAGGGGAAGCAGATGAATTTCAAATTCATAGTAAAATTAAAACAAGGAAATAACTAAAAGATAAGTGAAGGATCCGAGTAATTAGAGCTTCATGTTAGAAGTGTTTCAAATCAGTCTTTAAATTTAATCGAGATGCCTGGTAATGGTTTGGCAGCATTTTTAAGTATAAAGCAGCCCAAAAAAATTAATATATTATAGACAAAAGGGAAGAGCTTTGACCAATCAACAGCTATACTGTTTATCACCCTCTATACCTGAAAAAATCAGCCCATGTAGAACTCTACTGTGTTTGTCTTTAAAAGGCCATTACCCAATGTTGGTCCCAGCTGTGGGGTCTTGGGAGGGGTAGACTGGATACAGTCCTAGCCTTTGGGTTTTTTTTTCCCCCTCTCTATACAAAGTTGCTGCTCTCAGACTCGAACCCACATTCTCATGCAATAATTGAAAACAACAATAAGTTCCTAATTGCAGCAAATTATTACAAGACTACCGGGAAGTATAATAAAAGGTTCCATTAGTTGCTCTAAAATTTACTATTAACATGTAACAATTTTCAATGATGAAGAACACAACAAGAATTACTTCATTCAAAGGATATGATGCTTACCCCATATAAGGAAGCACCAGCCTTGAACACTTTTTTGAAAGCAAGAGCAGCTAATGTCGTGTAACCACCAGCTGACCTCCCAGTAATACAAAGTCGCTCCCCATCTACTCTTCCACTGTCCACCTTATAAATCAAATAAACTCTTTCTGTTACCATGTCTTAAAGCATAGTCAGCATACTTCTCCACTAAATTTGGAAGGTCATGAGGAGGGATGTTAAGCATAATTACCAAAAATCTGGCGCAGCTACAACAGTCATCAACATCAACAATACCCCAACGACCCAAAAGCCGCTCTCTATATTCTCTGCCATAACCTTCAAATTTACATACAACCTCACCTTTAGCAGAAGAAATATTCTACTGATAATAATGAAACTAACGACAGTTCATTTAACATGTAATCCAACTGCAATCAAGACAAAATATGGATGAGCGAGGAAAAACCTGGTGAAATTATTGTAAACAAGGAGGTGGTTAAACCAACCTGAGCCTGGGTATATAACATTAAAATAATTCTCTGCTAATGCAATGATTATATAAACATTTTACCCTAACAATCTGGAAGCTACGATTTGAAGAAAAGATACTAAGTCTGAGGACAAACCGGTGCTTCCTCCATAATTGACATCAACAAATGCCCATCCTCGACTAGTCCAATATTGAACACTAAGATCTAATATTCCACGTGATTCAGCTGTAGGCCCTCCTGTAACATTTACACAACACATTTTTGTCATAAAATACTGAATGTTTTGTTGTACTAGTGTAAATCCCTATTTACAAACTAAAACTTCCAAAAAAATGCCCCACACTGAAGCATCAGTTCATTACACATTCCATGGCTCTGGAATATTAAAACAGAATCCATATATGAATGTTAATTTCGATAAGTTCCAACAATGAGTGGTTTTATAATTTTTATGTATTTTTTTTTTTATGGTGGAGAAGCCAAATGGTCAAATGTAGCATTTTATAAATTTTTATGTATTCTATATAATTTTGGGCAGCAAGTGTATTTTGGTCATTTTCATCACTGTATGTTTGGTCCGGCTGAGTAGTGGTCATTTTCATCACTGTTGTAAACCAAAATTTCAATGCATCGAATATTGGTGGGATATGACATCATCAGATGAGTTCATTCTCACAATATTACATTGCGTCCCGTTGGACCTTAGTGTCACTTAACAATAAATAATAAGTTGACAAAGCTTTCCGCTCAATCCCATCTAAGCATTGGTATGGGTTTTCCAATGTCAATTATGACATTGCGTTCCACTAGGTCCCACCAAACTTTTATAATAAATGAACTTTGACAGTTTGACTAAGAAAACTGTCCTATCTCCCTATGCATCGGCATGCTATTATCATGGGTCCCAATGGTTATTAAGTTTTGACATGAGAGTATTGATTTTTCCATTTTGTTAACCGATTAAACTGACCGAACCAAGAAAAAACATTTAAAATTGGTTTAACAGTTTTACAAATTGCTCGGCCTGTTTCAGTTCATTAAATAGGTAAGCCGATAGGGTTGGTTTGGTTGGTCAAGTATATGAAACCAAACTGAACCGACCCATGTACAGCCCTAGCATTTACAATGGCAGCTTTAGAGGGCATTCTTAATAAGGCCCCGTTCATTTTTTCGGTAAGTTATTTACCTGGGTAAGCTTTTCCTGGGAAACACTTACCCGGGTAAGTGCATTTACCCATGTTATTTTATTTCCCAGGTAAATAAGGAAATGACCATTTTAGCCATAGAAATCCAATATTAAAGGGGCATTTTCGTCCCATTCAAGTTTGGCAACTTTCCCTCTATGTGGGAAAGTTATTTACCCATCTAGGAGATGGGTATCACTTTCCCAGGTATAAATAAACTATCCCTGGTCCCCACATAAAACTGAAAAAAGAACATGGGATTCTTGGTCAATGGGAACCAAAATCCCATTGACCAACTTTCCCCCCTCTCAAAATCCAAAAAAGGAATGCCCCCTAAAAGAAAGACCAAAAGAAAAAGGGAAATAGTTCTTTTCAATTGAGCAAACTACTTGGCAGGGAAAAAAATACTAAAATAGAGGAGTAACAGGTAGCATCTCTCTCATTCTCTCTCCTCCCTCTGTCATTCTCTCTCTTGTTCTCTTCAACTCTTTTTATCATTCTCTATCTTGTTCTCTTCTCTCATTCTCTATCTCTCTCTCCCAACAAAGACTTAACAGCAAAGGGAGACATGAAGTTGGTTTCTCTTACCTCTCTTGTTCAATCACATCCGCAAAACTAAAAGCCTAACTTCCTCTTTCTCTGCCATGTATGTGAAAAAATACAGTCAGACTAAGATTCAACATTTGAACATCTTGACATGATACTGATAAAAATCTTGAAAAGGAGGGTGTAATTGTAAATCCATAAGATTCGTATAGATGCAGAGTTTGACACAGGATCTGCCGAGTCTGTCATGAGTTGACTCGTAGACACATGTCAACTCGTGAATCTATGGATAAACTAAGGTGTCCATAAAACACTGCTAATACCATTTGACAATCTCCTTCAATGAGCAAGTAGTACCACACTCCATCCCGAAGCATAGGCTAGTTTTAAACCTTGAAGGAGTAAAACAAGGATCTGGGTAATTGAGTAACACATTACCATAGTGCCCGCCCAACAGAGTGCATATGGGGCCCAATACCAAATTACAACCCCCATGTGCCCAATGACACAATAAACCATGATCAAATAAACTTTTTCAAGGATGGAAGGCAGACCCAAGAGGACAAGATTACAAAGGCTACATAAAAGCCAAGATTAACTAAAAAATTACTGACTGATTAAATGCAACAAAATCCACTGCAGTAAGGCGAAATCCCAATACTGATCACTACTCCAGTCCTCCCGTAGCCAAGCTATTTGTGATGTAGGTTGAACGGGTCCTATTAATAAGAAATATCTGGTGGTCATTTATTTGCTGGATTGTCGCAAAAAGTGCATAAATTCAAACTAGATTTGATGATTTTCAGTTTTTCACTACTTGATGCCAGGGTTGGGGTTAAGGAGTTGGGAAGAGGCATACAAAAGATTGATAAAAAAAAGAGGCCTACAAAAGCGTTTATGATTGGAATGGCTTCCAGAAAGTGAATGGTGAAAGTTGCCTCATGCATGGTTTGACCTGCAAAATTCTAACAATCTAAAGAAAGTAAAAGGATGAGAACTGATAAAAAAAAAGTACAACAATGAGAAAACTATAGGTAGTGAGAGAATTTCCACAAATAGATGAAACAGAGTTAAGGGTAGAGATTCTAGAAAGGGATGGATAGAGGAAATTTGGTTTTCATTGTGGTACTTTATAGTTCCTAGAGGAGCAAATTCTTTAGGATAGTTCTTTCTACCAGGGTTTCAAAGAAAACAATGAAACATGAAAAGGAAAAATAGAGTATTTGCTTAGATGATTAAGAGCAAATGAACAGAAATAAATCTAGAACAAGTATTGCAATTGTTGCTTCAGATAAGATCTACAGAGAGAAGAGAAATTAGAGAGAGAGAGAGAGAGTTATTGCAAAGAAAAAGACCAAACTGGTAACTTTCCCCACATGTTTGCCTTCTCTTTACTTGGCAAGTGGGGAATTGATTAATCTCCTTTTCTTTGCTACTAGGATTTGGGAAAGGATCTTCTCATTGCTTGGTTGCAGGTGGCTTATCTCTGCTGATGTGGAAAGCATATTTGAGAATGGCAAGTGGTGAATTGATTAATCTCCTTTTCTTTGCTACTAGGATTTGGGAAAGGATCTTCTCATTGCTTGTTTGCAGGTGGCTTATCTCTGCTGATGTGGAAAGCATATTTGAGACTACTATATTTGCTCATCCAAAGAAAAGAGGGAGAGCAATGTGGAGATGTGCTAGAGAAGCTGCACTTGGACTATTTAGGACGAAAAAATGGAAGGACTTCTTTAGGTTGCTGGGTTTTCTATTTTTCTGGTTTCTTTCTTTTCCTATTTACATCTTATGAGGGATAGCATTGTAATCTCATCTTTATTAGACTAAAATATATGGTGTGGGTCTTGTATTGAGACCCATGAAACTACTATAATCAGCAACTTGGTATTAGAGCATCTGCATCAAGAGTGTTCTGAGGACACAGGAACAGGAGTGTCACCAGAACCTTCATTCTTAGGGGATGTGAAAAATGCCTTCTGTACATGTTCTACTATCATTAGCTGCACATTTTGATTGGCCACTATGGCAGTTTCGATGTCAAAAATGCATTTATGAATGGTGATCTGAATGAGGACGTGTATATGATGTTACCACCAAGATTCTACCATGAGAAACAAGATGGTAGGTTTACAGACTCAGAAACACGTTGCATGGCTTGAAACAGTTGCCTCGTGCATGGTTTGACAGGTTTAAGAAGCCCTCACAAAGGGTCGGCTTTGAGCAATCTCAGTCAGATCATACTCTGTTCATGAAGAAGAATGGAGAGCTGATTACTGTTCTTATTGTATATATTGATGATATTGAGGTGACTGATAGTGATATAGATGGAATTGCTCAACTTAAGAAATTCTTAGCCTTATAATTTGATATCAAGCATTTGGGGAGCTGTAGCATTCTCTTGAAATTGAGATAGCTAGGTCTATGTCTACTTAAGAAAGTAAGGAAGTCAGGAGTTAAGCCAGCAGATGAACCTTTTGATTCTAAACACAAGATTTGTGCTATTGAGGGGGAGCTCCTTGAGGACTATGCCACATATAAGAGATTTGTAGGGAGTCTTCTCTATCTTTATATGACTTTTCCAAATGTCTCGTAAGCCATTACTGTTGTAGTGGAGAAGATCCTTGCTAGGGGCTGTCCTGGTAAGGGTATTCTGTATTTTTTTTATTTGATAAATAACTGAATTCGTTTCATTAAATAGGAACAAAGGTCAGATGCAGTAGAACAACGCAGCTAATCAAAGAACAATACAATCTCAAGAGCAAAAACCAAAACCACAAGAAACAAAAGAAAAAAAAAAGTACTGGTTACAGCCTGGTCCAGGACAACCCCAATCCAAAGATCTCCACACCCTTGCTATTGCCAAAGAATCTGCTACTCTATTAGCACTCCTAGGAACCCAATCGAATGAGTTCAAATTGGAACCTAAAGAGTGGGCCAATCTCACCAAAGGTCTGAATTGCCAAGAAGACTGAGTCTGAGAATTCATCCAGCCCACCACTGTTTGACAGTCACCTTCCACCTCCACATTCCTCCATCCCTGAAACATTCTTTTTTTTTAATCAATAACTCAACCTTTTATTAATTAATATGAAGGAAGGTACAATACATTAAATACAGTCAGACTGTGAGAGATAAAACCTCCTACTCTCCCCCTACAATCAGATCCCTTACAGTTGTGCCCAGAAAAATGAATCTCTCCACCCCTTATTTAGCTAAGGCATCCGCTACAGAATTTGCAGATCTCTTAACCCACCCAACCACTATTTCCATATCTCTGGTTAGCCACCTGATCTTCTTCCTTTCATTGTTGAAAAGCCACAGTTCTGAGCCCCCATCTTGTAACCAGCTAATCACCAGTTTGGAGTCTCCTTCCACAAATAGCTTTTGAATGTTCATTTGCTTTGTCTTCCACTACTGCTAACACTTCTGCTCTCAGGGAGTTTCCTTCTCCAACTGGCCCCGAGAACATAGCAATGAAGTTGCCCTCCTCATCTCTAAAAATACCTCCAATTCTTGAAGGTCCAGGATTCCCCAAGCTGCTACCATCAAAGTTAAGCTTGATAAAACCTCTGTTTTGAGGTGACCAAGTGTGATTGATAATTGTCTTATGGGCTGTAGAATCTGCTACTTCCTTCCAACTTCTCATTAGATCATTTGTTGACACATGAGAGAAGGCTGTCAAGGATTTCAGCCAATGCACCACTTTAGCCTTGATTGTTTCAAAGATATCACTTTTGTTCATTTCTTTATCTGTGAAGATTCTTGCATTTCTTTCTTCCCAAACAGTCTAAAGAACAGCA